GGTTTCACCGTGTGAGCCAGGATGGTCTCGATCTCCTGACCTCGTGATCCGCCCGTCTCGGCCTCCCAAAGTGCTGGGATTACAGGCTTGAGCCATCGCGCCCGGCCATTTTTCTTATTTTAAAAAAAGAAACCAGGAGTTTGCAATTTACATTTGTGTGTGTGTGTGAGAGACAGAGTCTTACTCTCTTACCTAGGCTGGAGTGCAGGGGCATAATCTTAGCTCACTACAATCTCTGCCTCCACAGCTGAAGCAATTCTCCTGCTTCAGCCTTCAGGTAGCTAGGATTACAGGTACTTGTTACCATGCCTGGCTAATTTTCTGTATTTTTAATTGAGATGGGGTTTCACCATGTTGGTCAGGCTGATCTCGATCTCCTGACCTCAGGTGATCCACCTGCCTTGCCTTACCAAAGGTCTGGGGTTACAGGCATGAGCCATCTTGCCTAGCCAACAATTTACTTTTTTTTTTTTGAGATGGAGTCTCACTGTATCGCCAGGCTGGAGTGCAGTGGTGCAATCTTGGCTCACTGCAATCTTTGCCTCCCTGGTTGAAGCCATTCTCTCCCACAACCTACCGAGTAGCTGAGATTCAAGGTGCCCGCTGCCATGCCTGCTAATTTTTTGTATTTTTAGTAAAGACAAGGTTTCACCATCTTGACCACGCTGGTTTTGAACTCCTGACCTCATGATCCACCCACCTCAGCCTCCCAAAGTGCTGTGATTACAGGCATGAGTCACCATGCCCAACCAGCAATTTACTTTTAAAAGCAAAATGTTATACTGGGCAGCAGGAAGAGCTGTGTTGGGTGTAACTAACAGAGCTTTCTTTTTCTTCTATGTGGCTATTTGCATTCTGCTCACCTGGGGCCCTTCACACACTTAACTCATTTATAAATTTTTTACAATTTTATTTTTGTCAGCATGTTTTTATTACATTTATATGTCCAGGAAGAAATCAGAGTTGGTGGTATTTTGCTATGTCATCTTGCTTATGTAGTTTGTATAATTTTATAGGTTAGATTTGTAAAGTATATTTATCTGAGTCTAGCAATTGAAGTAATGTGTTTTTGTTGTTTCTTTTAGTTATGAGTTCTCAATTTGCCCAAGACTTTTGGCCAGAGAAGAGCATACAAGAGTCTTTCCAAAAAGTGATACTGAGAAGACATGAAAAATGCAGACATGACAATTTACACTTTAAAAAAGGCTGTAAAAGCATGGGTGAGCATAAGGTGCACAAAAGAGGTTATAACGGACTTAACCAATGTTTGACAACTACCCAGAAAAAAATATTTCAATGTGATAAATATGGAAAAGTCTTTCCTAAGTTTTCAAATTCAAACACATATAAGATAAGAGATACTGGAATAAATCTTTTCAAATGTATAATATGTGGCAAAGCTTTTAACCGGTCCTCAACCCTTACTACACATGAGAAAATTCACACTGGAGAGAAACCCTACAGATGTGAAGAATGTGGCAAAGCTTTTAACCAATCTGCAAACCTTACTACACATAAGAGAATTCACACCGGAGAGAAACCCTACAAATGTGAAGAATGTGGCAAAGCCTTTA